GGGCAAAAGTCGCGATAAAAGGCACGCTATCAACCTCTAAACTTAGATGAGCCTACAAAGCGAGCACTAATGAGGAAAGCCCAGGTTCAAGCATTGACTTTAACCTCTAGCGTCCTCTAAGAATTCACTAGGGCAGCGATGGCACAATCCGATAAGGAACCCGGCCAAGGAGCGCGAGTAGGCTAGCGAGCACAATTCGTTGAGAGGTTTGTCTCCTGAGGCCAACTCGTATCGCCCCTGTTCTGCGATACAACTTGTACCGGAAAGGCTTCCGTGCTTGCTTCCATCATTTCCTTCTTCTCAACCACCTCTCTAACATCTAACATAGGGGCAATCCTCTTGACGATGTCCATAGCGGCCACACTGAAAAGAGATCATATTGAATCCTTCATACTCAACCTGGTGCAACGTATTGAAGACTAGCACCTTCGAGACCACTTTCTCATATGTCGTCCACCTCCAGGCCATGAAGCTTTTCTGCTTGCTAAGGCTGGATCAATATTACTTCATCAGGATCTCTAAAGTCGTCCAAAGCCGCAGTGGCTACTGCAAGAACTCAAATCTCAAATGACGTAAGAGAAGAAATAGAAGTGCGAGTGCTGAGTATCTTTTACTGCGCTAGTCTTTCTAAATTCCTTAGCCAAGAAGCCTTTGGCCTCTTGTTTTCTTCCCCATGACCCTTTGGGGCTATTACACTCCACCCAGATAGCAATTCCCTCACACCCTTTAGCCGAATCTCAAAGAAAGATAGAAGAGAAGAAGAGCTGCGACACCGATAGCAAATCGCCCAAGAGGCGAAAGCGTTGGAAGTCGCTCGAGAGATTCAGATAGGCGAGCCAAGCGAGTCGGCCAGCATCTCTATCCGAGAAGGAGGGAGTAGGTTGTTCAGGTCTCCCACTACCCACGTTGGAAGTAGCCGAGAGAATCCTACAGAAATTCAGGCTTAGATGAATGCCGGGTCTCTTTGCGAGCATGAAACCGCGCTTTACTGTGATTGAGAAGGTAAATGGCATAAGGCAAGGAAGGGTTTAGCAAGATAGCATTCATTTCAAGAGATAGAGTTTCAGATGTTGAACTCTTTGCCAGAAGATCGTCTCTTTGAGATGCTAAGAATCGAGGGTAAAGAGTCGTTACGTAGACTTCATCTCAACATTCGTCTTTACTACTGATAGTGCTAGCACACTCCTTACGCCGACATTAGCAGTAGCGCTAGTAAGGCCGACAAATACAAAGAGGGACGGTGTGACAGCACTTTTTTAAGCCCAAAGGCTAGTTCAGTCACTTCCGGATGAATAAGAGTTCTCTTTCTCGATCGAAAGAACCAACATCGAATGGCCAAGCGTTGAAGAATCGAATCATCGCCCGAAAGAAAGGGCCAACATGTTGTATGTTGTGTTGGCTTTCTTTCCTAGATGGAGAGAATCCGCAAGTAGGAATAAGAGCATTGGGGAGGGGCTACAGTTGTCGACTCTGAACGAATGGTTTTATGTGAAGTGAAGAAGAGGTGGTAACTTTTCAAAAGAATAAGATCCCGTTACAGTTGGGAAAGCAAGTGCCATCCGAGAGTCTTCTTCGTCTTCTGCTTTCACTGACGAGCCTTGCTTTCTTAGTCCTTTCTTAAGATAAGACCTACCGCCTTTTATGAAGTCTGGGCTTTCTCCATCGTTTCCTTAGAAAGACTCGCCCTATCTCTAAAGGGGCTTCGGTCGTTACCCTTTTCTCTTTATCCTTTGAATTACTCCCTGAACTGCTCTGAGCAACGTGATACCTAGGTTCCGTCACTTTTTCTATTCGTTCCTTATTCTGTTGACCTTTCTGACTATATGGTATTGTGTTTTGCGGCTCCTCTTCCAGTTCGAGTGGGAGTTGGAACATAATGCTTGGCTGGCGAAGTCGTGGAATTCGGTAGGTACGTCGCTTTGGCTTCTTTAGTTATGTCTTTCTTTTCTGGTTGGCTAGTCAACGGCTGGCGCCTTTGAAAGTGAACGAGTACGAATGGAAAATCAGTATTTGCTTTCCCAACCCGGCAAAATGCCCCACTCCTCCACATTCATAACAGTTACCGGATCTCAGACGCATGATCAAAGGACCGAGCAAGGAGAGGTCTAAGCACCGCGAGGGCAATTACATAGCGCCTTACCTCTTCTGAATTCTATTGCTAGTCCCTTGCTCTTAAGCCAAGGAATAAAAACCTATCTTTATGCTACCACTGGTGAAACTAAAGCTATGTATTCTTTGAAGACGGAAGATGAATCAAAACCTTGCCTCTCCCCTGAAGCTATGAATGCAGGCTTCCGGGCATTTTCCCTAGGGCAGCAGAAGGTAAGCTCTAAGGGAGTGAGCGCTAGCTCCTTCTTTAGCCTATGCAAAGGAAGGGCCAAGAACTCGAACCTCGAACGTAGGCAAGAAAGTAATAGGCAGGCCTTGATTTTGATATTTCATAATGCGAGCTCTAGCTAGTCACGAACCGTTCTCTTTACAACTTCGTGGCCTAAGCCTTTGAAGAATCGTCCTCGGGCTTGCAATAATTGTACGAAGGAAGGCATCCTTTGTAGAGGCACCTTTTGGAAAGAAACTTTGCAAGCGGAGTCCTACCGATTTAATAGCTGCTAGTCTGAGACCGAGAATGAATAAGACTCTTCCAGTTCGTAGATTCATTTTGTCGGAGAACTTGCTTATTCAGTAAATACCTCTTTCGGATACTTTAAATGATCCCCTATCTCTGCTTGAAATCCTATAGTAGTCTACTAATTCTTCCCTTCCTCCATTTACCTTTGGGCGACCGGCTAATTGTATTGGTCTCATTATTCTCTATTCTTTGCTCCCTAGACTTTGGCAGTGAATACGGAACTAGACGGATCCTTTATATATGAGCTAATAAAAGCAGCCCCAGAGGACAGATAGATGGTAGAATTTCGTTGAGTGATATTCCTAACTACTGCTTAAATCGCTATCGGAGCCTAATGTAGACTGCCGCTAAGAAACTCTCTTTCGAAAGTGAGATCACCACCGGAGAGGGAAACTCATAAAAGCAGCCGTTCCCTTTCTAGATACTATATAGAAGATAAAAGCCTCGAATCCTTTGCTTTCTTTCATCTCTCTGATTGACATTAATTAAGCTTTTGCCTACCCCAGCTCGATCCATAGTTAGGGATAGATCGATCGGTTTCGGGTCAAATAGGAAGAACTAGAAGATTCCGCCTCTGGAAAGCGCCTACACCTAATGGCTTAAGCCGCTCTTCAAGAGCATTAATCCGGTCTGTATTCGAAACCATCTTGCTTTCCAAATAGCTGGCTTTAGCGATTTTTCCATTCCTTACAACATAGGACTTTCGGAAAGAGTCGTTGAAGAAGCCGAGACGAGAGAAAAAAAAGTCCCGCTTAAAGGAAAGACAAACTCTCTTTAGCGGTTCGTAGGTGCCTTATTTGATCTAGTAAGGAGAGCTAGAGTAGCATTCTCCTCAGTTACGGCCCCGGGTTCCATAAAAAGGAGTCAAATCTTAGCAGCAACAGACAAAGAGAGTGTGACCTGAGCAAGTCTGAATCGAGCCCTACCGAATGCTCTCTTTCTATCTATGCTACATCTCCCATGAACGAGGGAAAGACTTCCACGTACTAAATATTTACCAACACAAAGCGGGATGGATGAGAACAGGAATGAGCTCCATGGGGAGCTAGACCTGCGCTTAGGAGAAGAATTCACTCCTGGGTCGCAGGAGCGGCTTTTAGGGTCTTGTTCGGACATTCATTCCTTCTTCCTTTGCTTTGGCGGTATCTTCTAGTTGAGAGCGGTTTCTTTTAGGAGCGATCTTTTCAGGAAACTGGAAATCTCGTAAGAGAAGAATGAGACTTTTAGGCGTGATCAAGCGCTGTTCTCAAGCAAGAGTGTCCACGATCTTGTGTTGAAATAGCATCCGAGGTTGGGTTTGTGTTCCGTAAATTCTCATTCTTCCCCCTAGATCCCCTAGATCCCCTAGATCCCCTAGATCCCCTAGATCCCCTAGATCAAAGTCTAAAACCAAGGAAAATAGAAAGAACTCTCTTTTCGTTCTGAACTAGACTCTATCTATACTCTATATATATAGCTTCGTTAAGCTGTATGGAGGGAATAGAAAAAATAATTGATCATGGAAAAGAAAAGTTCATCTATGTCTATTGATAGTGTGAGTCATAAGAGTTTGATGTCTATTGATAGACTTTCGCATAAATTTCTTCTTGGGAAGGGATTTTTCAGGACCACCCTGGTCTTCACCCTTCCAGTGAACGTCTAGTGGAACTTCCATCTGATATACGCAAGAAGTTGTGGGAGTTGATGGCTAACAAGAGTGCCCAAGATGTGTTGGTTGCATCCGAGGTCGAAAGCGCTCCACCTGAATTCGAAAAATATTTGCTGAAATAGAAAAGAAATGCGAAGAGTTGGTTCTATTGTCGAATAGACAAATCCCGCCGGAGTGGAACATGGCCGATCTTATTCGCACTGTTATGGGAAACGACGCTCTTCAAATCCCAGGACATCTCCAAGATACCTATTATGATGTTATTTTAAGGGGAGCCACTAGTTGGTTCTTTGAGGATCTTGGGAACTTTCTCGATTTGATCAACTATGCCCCCGGGCCTTAGCCCTTAGAATCTCATTCAAAACCGGCGTGGCGCTGCTGGATGCTTCTGATCAATAGAAGAAGAAGAGGAGTCAGCCAAAAAGAAAGATCACCGAAAGTAACGACCACCAAGATAGGCATAGTAATGAAATCTTTTGATCACCCATTTTTTGAAAACCATTTTTGGGGGCTTCCGCCTTACACAAGGCGGATTGGATTGCCTGAATCACGAGTCTTATATACTGTGTTACGATCACCTCATATTGATAAAAAGTCCAGAGAACAATTTGAAATGAAAATCAAGAACCAATTTTTTGTCATAAAAACCGAAAGGCATGAATTGCGCAAGAAGTTCTTTCGGTTAAAACGCCGTGCGACTCGGAGGACATAAGACTTCTTGGTCAAGCCAAAAAGATTGCCGACTTCCTCCCACCATGCCTGGCCCTTTACCTTACCTTAAGAAGAAAGAGGGGGTATGAAGCGTGGGAAAGAATGCAAGAAGTGTATGATAGAAGTAACCTTAAGGAGTGGCGGCAAACCTCTTGATTGATCAACGTGAGTGAACTGTGCTTAGACGCTTCGTAAAACCGCACCGATCTACGAGAGGAGCTGATAGATGAGTAGGCTTCCCCTTTCGATTCACGGAATGTGATCTGGGCCACGATGGGAGTTTGCGTGCCTCGGTAGGAAAGAGATCACCGGAGTATAGCACAAGATCGCCTTTTCTTGCTGCCATGGGGTCGACCTGTGAACAAGGTAAACCCAATGGGAACCAAAAAACGGGGATACCGCATTGGGCAGAAGACGATCCAAAAAGCGAAGGCTCACCCTTGGTTGAAGAAAGAAGTCAGGGGCGAAAGCCGCTCGACCGATCCCTTGAACCTAACCCTCGGGAGTTTAGGGGCTCGACCGAGGGGAGAGGAAGGAGGGGAAGCTTACCTTAAACTTCAAAGGGGAAAGGGGGTGAGATAGGCAAGAGGTTTTGATTCCTTTTCCACTAGAAAGCCCGGCCGCGAGGAATCAAGAGATCTTTGCCGGTGCTGACTTGGATCTCGGGTGACGGAATAAGGCGGCCAAAAGCTTAGAGCAGTCGCGGTCGAAGCTTGGCTACAGCGAAGCGCTTACCAAGCGCGAAGGAAAGGCCTCCGCCACTTGAGCCGTATGCGGGGGAACTCGCACGTGCGGTTCTTAGGGGGGGGAGCTAGTAGGAGCCATCCCATCCCAATAGCGTATATTTTCCGCTCAATATTCAATTTTCTTTTCTTGCAAGACCCGTTCGGATAAGGGAAAACTCCAGAGATTGCTTCGAAGTAAGATCCTTGCGTTGACCCTTTCCTGAACCAGAACCGGGTCCGGGTGAGAGGAAAAGAGGATCCAAATGTCCCATCAATAAAGGTTGGGCTTTCCGGACCTTCCCCAAAACCCCCTCACGGACCCTTTTTCAATAAATAAGCCCCGCTTCATAAGCCATAACTTTAAATGGCCCCTCTCTGATAAGGAAGGAAAGGAAAGAATCTCCATTTTATGACAAATCCGGTCCGATGGCTGTTCTCCACTAACCACAAAGATATAGGGACTCTATATTTCATCTTCGGTGCCATTGCTGGAGTGATGGGCACATGCTTTTCAGTACTGATTCGTATGGAATTAGCACGACCCGGCGATCAAATTCTTGGTGGGAATCATCAACTTTATAATGTTTTAATAACGGCTCACGCCTTTTTAATGATCTTTTTTATGGTTATGCCGGCGATGATAGGTGGATCTGGTAATTGGTCTGTTCCGATTCTGATAGGTGCGCCTGACATGGCATTTCCACGATTAAATAATATTTCATTCTGGTTGTTGCCACCAAGTCTCTTGCTCCTATTAAGCTCAGCCTTAGTAGAAGTGGGTAGCGGAACTGGGTGGACGGTCTATCCGCCCTTAAGTGGTATTACCAGCCATTCTGGAGGAGCAGTTGATTTAGCAATTTCTAGTCTTCATCTATCTGGTGTTTCATCCATTTTAGGTTCTATCAATTTTATAACAACTATCTCCAACATGCGTGGACCTGGAATGACTATGCATAGATCACCCCTATTTGTTTGGTCCGTTCTAGTGACAGCATTCCCACTTTTATTATCACTTCCGGTACTGGCAGGGGCAATTACCATGTTATTAACTGATCGAAACTTTAATACAACCTTTTTTGATCCTGCTGGAGGGGGAGACCCAATATTATACCAGCATCTCTTTCGGTTCTTCGGTTTGAAATGGCCCTTTTCAGATTCAAATCTGAATACGCATTGCGCTGTATGCTGGGACTGTCTGCTTAATGGGACTCCTACTATGTTCATAAGTGGTTTTCTAGTAAAACCCCGATCTAGTCAAAATGGAGTATCTAAGACACAATCAGCAGGTAACCAACGACATAAAAGCAGTCTAGTAGGAACCTCAGAGACTACATGCGCAACAACTTATCCTAAATCCTTCTGTGAGTGGCTAGCTGGAATTATCGATGGTGATGGAAGTATTCAAGTTAGTAAACAAGGATATACTTCTCTTGAAATTACTATGGGACTTGAAGATCTACGACTACTACGATATATCCAACATATGCTTGATGGAAGTATTAAAATGCGATCAGGTGCTAAAGCAACTCGTTATCGACTACATAATCAACTTGGTATGATTAAACTAATGAATTGTATTAATGGTCATATTCAACATTCAGCACGACTACTTCAACTACATCGTGTCTGTCAAGTACTGGATATCCCTGTAATTCTACCTATTACACTAGATGCTCAATCAAATTGGTTTGCAGGATTCTTTGATGCTGATGGTACCATTAGTATCGCTATGAAGAATCGACTACCTCAACTAAGTATTCGAGTAACTAATAAACTTCTACAAGATGTAGAGTCAACTAAGGTAGTATTTGGAGGAAATATCCACTTTTCTAGTAGTCAAAATGGTTACTATAACTGGTCTGTACAAAGTCGAAAAGATGTTATCATGATGCTAGATTACTTTAAATCAAGTACTTTCCGAAGTCATAAATCACGACGATTCTTCCTTATTGAGGAATATTACAGTCTTTACGATCTCAAAGCATTTAAACCTGACAGTATTCACCATAAAGCATGGCTAGCTTTCCTAGACAAATGGAATTACATAAGTTGATGATATAGTCCACCTTTCTTCTATTCATCCGCTTCTATTATACGAAGAGAGAAGCACCCTGAAGTTTACATCCTAATTCTGCCCGGATTCGGTATCATAAGTCATATTGTTTCGACTTTTTCGGGAAAACCGGTTTTCGGGTATCTAGGCATGGTTTATGCCATGATCAGTATAGGCGTCCTTGGATTTCTTGTTTGGGCTCATCATATGTTTACTGTGGGCTTAGACGTTGATACCCGCGCCTACTTCACCGCAGCTACCATGATCATAGCTGTCCCCACTGGAATCAAAATCTTTAGTTGGATCGCTACCATGTGGGGGGTTCGATACAATACAAAACACCCATGTTATTTGCTGTAGGGTTCATCTTTTTGTTCACCATAGGAGGACTCACGGGAATCGTTCTGGCAAATTCTGGGCTAGACATTGCTCTACATGATACTTATTATGTGGTTGCACATTTCCATTATGTACTTTCTATGGGAGCCGTTTTTGCTTTATTTGCAGGATTTCACTATTGGGTAGGTAAAATCTTTGGTCGGACATACCCTGAAACTTTAGGTCAAATCCATTTTTGGATCACTTTTTTCGGGGTTAATCTGACCTTCTTTCCTATGCATTTCTTAGGGCTTTCGGGTATGCCACGTCGCATTCCAGATTATCCAGATGCTTACGCTGGATGGAATGCCCTTAGCAGTTTTGGCTCTTATATATCCGTAGTTGGGATTTGTCGTTTCTTCGTGGTCGTAACAATCACTTCAAGCAGTGGAAAGAACAAAAGATGTGCGGAAAGTCCTTGGGCTGTTGAACAGAATCCAACCACACCGGAATGGATGGTACAAAGTCCTCCAGCTTTTCATACTTTTTCCGAACTTCCAGCTATCAAAGAGACGAAAAGCTATGTGAAGTAAAAGAAGAAAAGGTCGACGATTGCTACTAAGAACCTAACAGAACTTTGAAAAGAAAGATCTAGACAACCTTCCAGCAATAGAGATTTCTCTCGAAAGGGACGGAGCGAACTATCGTGTCCACGAGTTTAGTCAAAGCGCCACTCTTTTTTCCGGATTTCCTTTGGGTCTTAGCACCCCTCACTAGTGAAAGCTTATCTTCTCGTTCCTAAGCTAATCAATGGGATGAGATGGGAGTAAGAGGTCGCGAAGGAGTGATCCTGGCTGGTTGGTCACGCGGGGGATAACCATTGAGCCAAGCAGATTGCCATAGATTGGTGTCCTTGCCGTCACCAATGACACGTACTCTTCCGCTTTGGAGAATTGGCTTATCTCTTTCCTAGGTCTATTCATAAATCATAAAGGCATGCTCTCTTGAATCCAAAAGAGATGCTTTGCGGCGAGGACTAAAGCTACTAGTAAGACGGGAGGGCTCTCTTATTCTTATAGGCTCTCAACTAGCAATATCCGTAGTACCAGAACTGGCTGAGGCTTGGCATTAGAAGACGATAAAGTCAATGGAAGGAAGGAGCTCAACTCTGAATTCAGTATTGGAATAGTGGAACTGCTACGTTTCCTCTATTGATAGCAATAGTAGAGTTAGAGATCTTAGCATTAGAGGCTTTTTTTCTTCTATCAATAATGCTTCTTCTTTCTAGCAATTAGAGATAGATCGAAAGGGGGGTCTGCTCCTACTCTTAGTGTAAGCAAGACCTGCCTTAGTTCTCGCTTTGGTAGTTCAGGTAGGAAAGCCAACTCAAGACGGAAAGCAAGAGGCCCTCCAGCAAGAAGTTAGCAAGAGTTAGCGGCGAGGCTAGTCAGTAAAGGCAGTCTACCACTAGCGGTCACAAAAAAGTAGATTTCAAAGATCCTATTTGACTCACAGAACCACGTACTCAAGACATAGCTATCAACCTTCCAAGAAGCAATAATCATAAGGCTCAGTTCATCGATTGCTGTGGATTCTCTTGAAGTAGAAGATTCTATTCATGAGCAGAAGTATCCCCTGAATGGCCCCTCCTTAGGAGGGAGGGGAAAGCCTTTCAAGAAATTCATTCCTCTATGAATATATAGGCTACGAGGTTCAACTGCTTTTTACAGGGCGGACTGGTTAAAAAGACTCATCCCGCGAAGCCGAAAAGGCATCTTTTTCAAACGTTTCACCTCCTTTCCTTTGATTGGTGTAAGGTGACATAAACCACAAACCGCATTCTAGCAGCCCTAAAAAAAGAATCTCTAGCGAAGCTGTCAACTCAACCTAAAGAAAGCGATCCGCTAGTCTAATCTATTCTCTGCTTTTCGAACAATGATTTTATATACAACGGGGTCTTCTGCTGACCCAGAAGCTCTTTCCGAACTAATAATAAAGGAATAGAAACTATCGGAGTCTGACCTGACCCAGAGATCTAAGGAGTTTATTAAAGAGAATTTGCACATACGAAAAACGACTACCTGAGATGGCTGTAATTGAGTAAAAAAGGCCGGGGAAGTGCTAGAAGATGTACATAGGGATTTTGGTGACGAAAGCATCGAACGGCGACAGGAAATAGAGAGACTAAATGGCAAACAGGAGTCCGGAGGATTATCTGAGGTGGAAGCAGCTTCCATTCCCTCTGGCTCCATATTCTTCTTTTAGGCCTACCTCTTCGTTTTTTCTTAGGCTTTGTAGCTTTAGGCGGGGCTTTTTCACCGTGCGCAGCCATATATAGGTTTAATGGTCTCACAATCCCTAAGAGCATGCATTATAGTAGTCTCAGCTTTCTTGCATCTTGGACAGGTGCTAACATCTTTCATATGCCTTCGTTTCCGCTGCTCATTTGTTATTTGTTATCTATTATGCTATTATGCAACACAAGCCAAAGGAGCTTTTAAGCGAGGCCCTTGCCATTTCCAAACAATCTCCCACTCCCTGCTACGTTGGTCCCAATTTTCCCCTTCAATGAGCTCATAAGCTGTGCAACTAGAGAATGTTCCATTCTTTGATGGTCCCCTTCGATCACCATTACCTCTTTGATTCGGCGGCTTAATGCCCGCTTTTTTAAGACACGATGCCGCTGGTAAGAGATGCTGAAATTTATCCCACTTCCAACACCCATTCTCATCAAAAAAAAGAAGCCATGCATCTTGACAAGTCCTCTTGAGGAACTGCAGCTATAGCTTTATCAAGGTTTTTTATTCCTCATCCACCATGAATCCTTCAATAAATTTGGAATCCGCCCATTGCCAATTACCCACTGAATCCCTTTAAGATTTAAGAATAGAATCCCACACCTTGAAAATTCCTTTGGCCACGGGTTGAGGAAGACCAACCCAATCTCGAATGTATTTACTACGTAACACCTTCACCCATAGCGCATTAGGAAGAGTCAATATTCCCCACCCGAGCTTCATAACATAAGAAAAGCTGAATTCCATCCATCCTCACCTTTATACATGAATTTGGATGTCAATAATTTCCTCCTCGGGTCTCTATAAAACAGAATGAAAAGCCCGGGTTACAGGACAAAAGGAGAGAGGAAAAGTAGAAAGGGGGGAAGAAGTGACGTGCTAGTTCTTACTGACACTTCTTGATCTAACTTTCATTTTTGAGTGCTTTCTTTGTTCTCTTATTTATTTGGATTGAATTCAACTCAACTCCCATTGTTCTATGTCTTGGCATTCCTTTCTTTCTCTTCTTTTTATCCCTTCGACGAATTTCGGCTATGACCAATGCCCCACTAGCTGAATAGGCGTAAGAAAGCTACCTGAAAAAAGGCAAGGTGCACCTTGGATTGAACTCGACGAATTGCATTTTGCCAGAGATATTTTTTGAGTTAGAAAGATTCTCTATTGGAAATTCAAAATAAAGAAAATAAAAGCGCATACGCGGGAAGGGGGCCCCAATACTTTTTCATTCAGGGGGGGAGGGGGAGACTAGCCTCATTACTTCCCACTGGGCGAGAGGTGCACCTAACCCACCTACCCACTCATCAATCACGGTGTTCAGCTGACTTGCACTGATAGACCCCTATTGTATTGGAATTAGGCGCCCATCTTTTGACTGTTGTCAATTCATTTCTTCAATGTTCGATTCTACTCTATGTTAGAACAATGGTATTTTGATCTAAGTGGTCTTATTCTTTCTCCCGTGCTAGGAAGCATTACTCCTCTTTTCATTCCAAATTCAAGAATACGACCGATACGATTGATTGGTCTGTGCGCCTCTCTTATTACTTTTTTGTATCCCCCTGTTCTTCGGATACAATTCGATCCTTCTACGGCCAAATCTCAATTTGTGGAAAGCCTTCGATGGCTTCCTTATGAAAACATCAATTTGGATTTGGGTATAGACGGTATCTCTTTATTCTGCGTGATATTGACCACATTTCTGATCCCTATTTGCATTTTAGTGGGTTGGTCTGGTATGAGAAGTTATGGGAAAGAGTATATTACAGCATCTCTAATTCGTGAATTTCTAATGATCGCCGTGTTCTGCATGCTGGATCCTCTACTATTCTATGTTCTTCCCGAAAGTGTGCCAATCCCTATGTTGTGCGGAGCTGAGCATCCTCTATTCGCTGGGATAAAGCTTTTCCTCTGCAGGGGCCTTGTGCAGTAAACCCCCTACGGGCGGTCGTCCGTCGTCGTAAAGTAGTCCCCGCGAAGCTTTCGGGAAGAGGGGTAGTCTTGTGTGTAAGCATAGCATTTCTGGTCGAACCCGCCCAACCCAACTAAGAAGAACCGAACCTGACAGACACATCTTTTTCCTTTTGGGAGGGTACGTAGAGTAGTGGGTACCTCGTAGGACCTCGACCCGCCTACTCGGGTCTTGTATGGATATGCAGGAAGGGGTGCTCCTAGGTGTGTGTAGGGGTTGTGTTTGTTCGCGAGAATGGATTCCTCTAAATGGGGGGTGTGGACACACTTGCGCGAATTCGGGTAACGGCTACAAGGGAGAAATCGAAAGGAAACTGTACCCGACCGGGGATGGACGTAAACTCGTAAGCTGCCGAGGGTAGGGATAATCGTCCAGGTCTTATTGTGAAAGAAAAAAGCCGCCCCGCCACAGCAGGCGGGTTGCTTCCTCTGTCGTCGCCGGCGAGCTCTTGGTGAGGAGACCTTAGGAGTTGTTGCTAAAACAAACGGGGGAGGGGAGGATCGACCCGTTCAGTAGAATTCCGAAGAAAGCAGATGTTGGCAGCAGGTGGAGACATTTTTTTGGCCCCTTCAAAAGGAAATGCGGGCAGGGTAGAGCTCGGCAGAGGGTTCGAGAATAGGGTAGGGTCCTGTCCTTAAGATTCAGATAAGAAAAGAGTTCCAAACCTTTATGCATGCACCTCCGTACAAGTTCCGTCCAGAATGATTGGGAAAGATCAAACCAATTGGAACCGCTCACATCACAGTAGTCGTAGCGTAAAGGCCGTAAGTCGAGGGGCAGCCATAACAGTTGGCTATTCCTTTCACACCTCTCTATCTATAGTACGAGAGAGATCCGCTGCGTGAGCAACCTTATCTATACTAGAAGGCCTTACATGTGCTCTACAGGCCGCACGGAATCTTTCTTCCCAACGAGCACTTTTTGCTTTTGATTTGGAAGACGGGCGTTGCGTTCGGTTCGAAAGGCATGGTTTTCAGTATGTCGGAAAATAGGGCCCCACTAGTCCGGCTAGCTAGTGAGCGGTTCTTTCGGGCGGGCATCTACTGCAACGCAAGCACCATTGTTCGCCACCACCCGAGAAGCAAAAGATGCGAGAGTCCAGGCGGAAAATACGTGCATAGATAGTGGTCTAATGCCAAGGCCGACGACGGAAGCTCGGGACGGAGCCGTATGAGGCGGAAGTCTCACGTACGGTTCTCTGAGAAGGGAGTGGCTACCTACTGGAGCTTCGACCAACCACCACCGGTCAATAGAGCTTTTGGGCCACCCCTTACTCTACCATTATTATAGGGGTATGGGGTTCGAGACAAAGAAAGATCAAGGCAGCATATCAGTTTTTCCTTTATACTTTACTTGGATCTGTTTTTATGCTATTAGCTATTCTGTTGATTCTTCTCCAAACAGGAACCACCGATTTACAAATTTCATTAACCACAGAATTTAGTGAGCGGCGCCAAATCTTTCTATGGATTGCTTCTTTCGCCTCTTTCGCCGTCAAAGTGCCTATGGTACCAGTTCATATTTGGTTACCCGAAGCTCATGTAGAGGCACCTACGGCAGGATCCGTCATCTTGGCAGGAATTCCTTTAAAATTGGGAACCTACGGGTTTTTAAGATTTTCAATACCCATGTTTCCCGAAGCGACACTTTGTTCCACTCCTTTCATTTATACTCCAAGCGCGATTGCTATAATATATACTTCCTCGACCACTTTAAGACAGATCGATCTTAAGAAGATCATAGCTTACTCCTCAGTAGCTCATATGAATCTGGTGACTATTGGTATGTTTAGTCGGGCGGCGGCCGTTAGGTCACCTATTTTGAGTTATGGACACACAAGGCCAAAACATGTGTGCCGGGCGTGCGACCCATCAACCTACTAGCAATGGGGGAGAAAACATAGCATGTCGCAATAAAAGCTTGATTCGAGGCGTCAGCAAAGCCGTCTGTTCCAAAAACAAAAGCCCCAACGCGCCCCGGGACGGGAGTGGAGGGCGGCCCTACGCGCAGGCAACAGCAGGACCGGCTCTACGAAAGTAAGAATCGAATATCGAATCTTTCTCTTGGCTTTCCCAATTCATCCGTGAATAAGAATTCAAGGGCGTGAAGCGAGTGCTTCTAGCTGCTTCGCCCGCTCTTTTGGCGGCTATCTTTTCGCGGCGGAAATGAACGAAAAGCAATATGAACGTGCTATTTTCAAATCGATTGATAGATAGCCTTATCTGTTCTGATAGATCTCTAGAGATAGAGAGGGAATCTATCAAGAATAAGGTTTGGAACCCTATTTCTATCTATTGATGAGACAATTCTCTTTTCATGATCCATCAGAAAAGAAAGAAATCGATATGTATCTGATTACGTCTACATCGTACATAGAGCGCCCAAGCGCTTTTTAGGCCAGCTCAGTTCTCTTATCCATCGGTCCAATGCACTGGGCTCATCTCATGGAGGGAAAAGCCAAAATTACCTTGTCTTGTTCGCCGCCTCGACGCATTCCCTTCTCTCCCCGGTATCGTCCCACACAGAAAGAAAGAGCGCAGAGCCCCGGCCCGACCTGTAGGTCCGCTAACGTAAAGCGAGGAGTTGAGCCTGAACTAGCGAACCGAAGTCACTTTCGGAACCATACTTCCTACAGCTAAGATGTGTCCAGTCCTGCGGGAACGCGCAGCGCAAACGAACGTGAGCTGCTATACCGAATCCCCCGCTGGCCATCGGGGACCGAGTGGTAAGGCCATGATATGCAGGGGAAAATATCACTCATTCTTCCATTGGGGACAGGTGCACGAACGACAACTCCAAACGTCACACATCCGCCGCCTACCGTACGTTTAGGTGGCACCAGCGAGATCCAGCTAAGGTAAGGTCGTGTCGCGGCTGCTCCACTCCGCTGCGGTCTGATGAACTTCACTTCGTTGCCTTCCCGCTAAGAAGCGAATGGGCGCTGTGCCGTGGGTCAGTTTCGGGGCGGAGAGTGAAGAGAGACCAGAAGAATGATTCATTTGGATCGACGAGCTTTTTCAGCCCAAAAACGTTGAATCCATGGAATGTTTGTCTATCCATGAACATCTATTCCATCTCTCTATACATAGTCTCTCTATACATAGTTGCATGATATGATCGCCTTTGTTTGATATGTTCATTCAGTACCAATACAAACGAAAACTACGCCAAAGTGGAAGGGCCACTATAGAAGCTAGAAGTAGCTAGCCTATAGTAATAGTAATAGTAATAGTAATAGTAATAGTAATAGTAATAGTAATAGTAATAGTAATAGTAATAGTAATAGTAATAGTAATAGTAATAGTAATAGTAATAGTAATAGTAGTCGGCCTAACCAAAGCGTCACGACAAGATCCAATTAGCCTTATGAATGGAATCTAAAGTAGGGGGCTTAGCCCGCCCGCCTACCAATCAAAGAGGCTGAGAGTAAGCGTAAGCTCTTCGAGCTTCCCTGAATTCGCTTCGCGGTAGCCGCACAGCACATAGCTGGAAGTCAGAGGGCCCATACTACCTGCCTAACCCTTCGCTCCGAGGGACCGTAGATCTACAAGCGCCTTCTAAAGCACCCCATTCATCCAAAAGAGAAGGGAAGGGGCCTATTTATTTGCATGACCTCTGCAGATTTCACCCTATCTACACCCGGAGCCACGGACCTAGCGGTCCTGCCACCACGCCGCAGAACGTACGCTGTTGAGAGGTTCCATATTGCCGAGACGAAGGGCAGCACTTCTGTACGTGATCGTAGTATGTCACGTCGTCTCGTCCCCGCTGCATCGAAGAGTACCTATGCACTATGTTCCGATTCACTGAGTTGGAAGATAGAGTTGGGGTGGGGGTCTACGATGTGATACTCAAGTATGACCCGGGGAGATACATGCTAACTATGGGTAGGAAGCAGGAACCTTTATGTAAATAATTGTGGGGGGTTACAGATCTCTTATACTACCATCGATCGACAGAGCGGAACGACCAGAAAAAAGAAGTGAAGTTAGAAAGCCGTATGATAGGTGGTAACTATCTTGTACGGTTCGGGGGGTAATCGGCGTACGGAGATCCGTGGGGGGGAATCTTTGGCTCTATCGAACATACAGGGAATTGGAGGTAGCATTCTACCGATGTCAAGTCATGGACTGGTTTCTTCAGCCCTTTTTCTATGTGTTGGTGTTCTATATGACCGACATAAGACTCGACTTGTTAGATATTACGGAGGTTCAGTGAGCACCATGCCGAATCTCCCTACCATTTTCTTCTCTTCCACTTTGGCCAATATGAGTTCACCTGGTACTAGCAGTTTTATCGGGGAATTTCTCATCTTAGTAGGAGCTTTCCAAAGAAATAGCTTAGTAGCGACATTAGCAGCGCTTGGGATGATTTTAGGCGCGGCCTATTCCCTTTGGCTATATAATCGTGCGGTTTCTGGGAATTTCAAACCCGATTTCCTCCATAAATTCTCCGATCCAAATGGCAGAGAAGTTTCCATATTTATACCTTTTCTTGTTGGAGGGGCGACCGTCCGTTAAACTACCAAAAAAACAAGGGTAAACCAATGTGATCATGACATTGTAGGTGCTTGCAATGGGGACGGATGCGACTTCCCTCAGTTGGTTTGGGTGGCATAGCCCGTTGCAGAAGTCCCCCCCCTTTTTTTATCCATTTCTTTACTCTTTAGGGAGCCAAAGCTTTACTTTACTAAACTAATCAAAAAAGGCTCGTGCTAGGCGCTTACCTTTTTTGGCCGAGCCGTATCTTGCTGGGTGGGACCGATAGAAAGAAAGGACGGGGGGCGCATGGTACTTCTCGACCCTGTCTCCGAGGGACAGTTGAACGAGCGACTCATGAATGCTGCCGGGTTGGACGAGCCAATAACTCGAACGCGTTCGGTCTTTTTTTTGAGCAAGAATCACAGCCTTACCTTATCTTCACCATGATACGGACTCCAAGTTCTTATGGCAGAGCATGAGGAGATTTATCATCAATATGATGATGGGAATGGAAACCAGAAGCACGACTGGGGTCTTCGTGGTCCAAGATAATCAAACCATCAGTAAGAGTAACGTAAGCATGAGACTTTTTGGTAGTACCGGTGAACCAGATGGCCGCGGCGATGGAATCTGGGACGGAGGACTTGTAGTATCTCTCTAGATCTGGCAAAAGCGAAAGAACCCCTAACAACATTCGAATGGAGGCTGACGGCTGAGCTTTGGGATATTAGTTGGCCTCGCAGGGCAGGCCCCTGTGGTTGCGAGCTGGAGCTGCCATAGCTTATGGCTAGAGCAATGTACGGGCCCCAGCAGAGAGCAAAGTAAGGATAACGAGCGCGGAGCCCGCCAAGCGGGCGGCAGGGGCAGCGGGCAAGTGCTTGGTAGGCCAACAGCCCAGTGAACCGGGCGGGGCACTCGAAGAAAGGGGGGCACACGTCGCAAGTAAGAGAAATTGGCCCCGCGGAGCTTTCAACAAAGCAAGGACCTCAATTCTCATTAGGAGGTCAAACCAAGGACCTATGGAAGCATTCTCTCAACAATAAAGAAAGCTCGCCCCCGGTCAATATTGGATCAAACAATAGGGGGCTGACCCTTTTTTGATTCAATACATTCAATACAATAGGGTAAAAGATCGTACAGTTCCCTACCGAGACAAACTCTCAACGGATCCTCGGCGCGCTGGGCATACCTCTTCCGCGCGTCTTTCTCGTGGCGGGAACAGAACAACAGGGAAAGACCCGGCCCAGGGCTCGAGGGCGAGCTTTATTTATTGTTGAGAGAATGGCAAGTGAGTCGAAAGGCTTCCGTTTCCGTTCTTGGTCAGCGAACCTCTCGATCTTTTTCGTAGTTGAGAAGGGGGAAGGAGTCTAAATCAATGAACATTAATGAACCATCATTGATGGACGTTGCACATGACACGATCAATTCGACTCAAGGCCCGGCGCTAATAGAAGTTGCTTACTTTCCTAGTAGCGAAGGAAAAGGGCAGGGCTTTTTTCTCCGTAATAGTGGGCGGGTCTCATGAGATCTATGCCGGCCGCCGGAATCAAACGAAGGGCGAAGGACCATTCAATTCATGTTGGGGCATAGCGGCGACCTGGCCTGGCGCCATTCCCGGACCTAGCAGCAGACGGGCGGGCCGTGCCTGAATTCAGACCGGGCCAGACTCTTCTTTGTTTGAGCTGCTCCCACGCACGCAGACCGGAAGATCTCACTTGTCCTGGACTGGAACAAGTACGTAGAGATCTTCGTGGGACCGTGTAGGGAGTCTCAATCGGTCTTTTCTAGGATGGATGCAATATTTATACCTTTTCTTGCACGCCACACATGGAGATTTTTCCATTGATCTCTAAGAGGCCCCCTTGAACAAATTCTTAAAGGTTAGGTTACTACCTGCTTCTACGGAAGAGGTTGACTTTGTACCACCCGGGGGTCATATAGGTCTCTATCCGGAGCGATAAGAACGAAAGGGTTGGTGTGGCCACAGCTACAACTACTGGCCCTTCAAAAGGCTTAGATTCTAAGAGCGCTACTGAAAGCCCTTTTTTAGGTCGTCTAATAAGGTAGGTTAAGCCCCGAAAGCCTTTGGTACTTCGGTAGGGCTAAAGCCCTTAAACCAAAAAAAAGTTACACCCTTCCCCTATTTTTTTTATCCATTTCATTCTCTATTTGGCCCACTTCAAACAAAATGAGAAAAAGGGGTTGGTCAATAGCATAGCTCTTTCTTTCCCCGGTCTCCTTTCTCTGGAGAGGCCTTCGCATTCCTAATCCGGTAGGGTCGGACGGCTTTGTTTGCCCCAGCTTGGCAAATCGCATCCCCGCACAACAACATTGTGCGCCCCTTACCGTTCTCGCTTAGTGTTTCAACGGCTGGGAAGGCAGTCGTAGAAGCAAAGCCTATCGCCACGCCGACCATCAGAGATTGGGCTCCTTCTCAAAGATTTGATGGAATGGCCCAGCCCCAAAAGGAAAGTGTTAGTACGCGATGCGTTCCATTTGTACGAATCGCGAACATACCACGCACGACCGGACGTAGAGCCACTAAGAGCTGGCAGACCAGGCCGGGCGCAGGTTCCAGATCCGAAAAGTCGAGTCTCGGATCAGCCTAGTGCACCAACCACGTGGTACGACGGGCACTCAAAGACCTGGCGAATGATGGCCCACTCCACCCAAGAGCGCTTATGTTATAGGGGAACTCATGGCTGGAAACAACCCTTATGGGTTGGGTTGTTTTGATATCCGGCAGGAATAATAAAAAAAAAAAGTCCAGGTTGGTTGGTGAGCCTAGTGATAGGAGACTATCTAGCTTGGTTCGGAGAGCACTTGTTGGGTGAAAGATTTTTTTGTTGCTAAATGTTACGGCCTAAATGCTGAACTATTGACCCTACTTGTTTGGATGGGTGTTCACCCCAAAGTGTTCCCGGACTGCATGCATACATCCGTAAGTAACTTAGTGCAACATGGCAAATTTCATTGAGAGGAATCAGCAAAGAAAAGAAAAAGAGGTCAACAACATCTTAATGTATTTTGAGAGATTGTCCTGGGGCTGAGGAGTGTGAATCTTTTTTAGCCAAGAGCTTGACCGGGTGAACCAGCATATAGTGCAAATAGTGCAAAGCACCTTTTCGGAAAAGTCCAGTTCAAGACAAAGGAAGGGAAAAGCCCAATTCCTGTATCCAAAACGCCCGATCCGACCTCTTATTCAAAAGCCAAGGATCACGGTGTGAAGAAGAGGAAGACAGGTCATTGGAAGAGAGCAGAGGTACGAGAGGAAAGGAAGACTCTTACCATCGATTCCATTGTTCTTTGTCAGATGGAATGAAGCAGGTCAGAAACGAAAATCAGATTTAGATGATGGCTTTCAAAAGAACGAGTAAGGCTAACTTGAATGAAGCTATGGATTCCAATAAACGTGTTACCAGACCTGTAAACTCGGCGGAGATTGGGTCCGGCCAGTCCCTAGGTCTCCATGAATTGCCTCGTTTGGAACTGTCGAGGGCTTGGGAACAAAAAGTTCGAGCTCTCCGTGAGCTCATTCGTAAAGAAGATCCCTCCCTAGTGAAACGAAATGTAAGGGAATATCTAAAAGTGAAAAGAATCACTCAGGTTGTTTGGAATTGCATTGCGGGGGAAGTGAGGGCTAAGTCAGGAGGGCTGGCACTCTTGTGGGATAAGGAGGTTTCGGTGGTAGTTCAGAGCTATTCCCAAAGGCATATTAATGCTATTTACGAAATTAGCGATAATCAACCTAGATGGAGATTTACAGGGTTTTATGGATAGCCGCAAAAAGGAAGGGGGCTTCTCTTAGGGAAAATTGGCAACTTCAGGACTTAAGGGATGCCTTAGATAATTGCAGGTTATTTGACCTGGGGTGCATATGGTTAAAGTATACGTGGTGCAATCGTAGAATGACTACTGGCACAACTAAGGAGAGCTTTACTTTAATTACAATAAATGCTTGAAAATCCCACCTAGGCTGATATTGACTTTCCATCGAAGTTTCCATTATCTCAACAACCGGGGAAGGAGCAAGGTATAAGCCAAGAAACTTCCATCGAAGAGTAACTCATAAGCTTTGACTTCGAATAGCAAAAGCAACCTCTGCCTATCTTTCAGTCGTCAGCCTAAGGTTTCACGTAGAAGCTAGCGGGCATGCTATCTCAGGCTTCCCTGCATCCGATCACAAGGAATTAGCAATAGAACTATCTGGCAAGAAAGCTGCCAGACCTATTCTACGAGCTGCTTCCAAAGGTGAGAAAGCCTGTTTCTCTGAGCTAGGATCACATGTCCGGAAAACAATCCGAGATGTATGATACCGAACCGACATCCCTGTTTGGAATAGGATTTTTTTGAAAGGGACCGGATAACCACTCGCTGTTTGCTAGTACCAGAGTTGGATGCTTACTTCGCTTTCTTTCCTTCCGGCTTTCAAGCCTACGTTTGCTGGAATGACTGATCTTATTCCAAGGCTGGCTGTATAAGTGACTGATTGGCACTGATTCCGCTTCCCTCCGATTTCGATCTGCTAGCAACTCCGATAGTTAACAATTCCTATCCTCTCTTTGACGGCCAAGCAAGCAACAAGGCTCTTTTCAGCCTTTCCGAAGGGTCTTTATCCTGATTCAATAGAATAATATATGTATATACTGGCTCGCTACTACTACAACTACTACTCGAACTACCCGAGACACAACCAGACTTGCTACGGAGCATCGACAGGTCGGGGGCTAATCCCCTATTCCGTAACCAGCAAGTGTGTTACAGGCCGTGTTTATTACCGCTTTCTAAGTTGTGGGACTTTGCCGTTGAGTTGAGGCAAGCTTAGCCGCCAGCCCCCTTTATTATACATAGCAAGCTCTTGGGGAAGACTTTTGACCACTCCGCGGTCTCCGGATAAGACTGCCAGCCCCCAAGGGAAGGGTTAATGACGCGATGGGCAAAGACAAAGGGACGGTACATAGAGCACCCAGACAATCTCGACAAAGCAAAGAAGAATCATAACTCATAAAGTACGGACCGGGAAAGGAATTGGTTCCAAGCTTTCAGAAACCCACTTTCTCGAACTATATGCTCTAAAAAGCAGCTATCATAGGTAAGAGCTCTCATTCGCCAACAAGGAAGACGAAAGGGGTCAACGATCTCACTCGGAAAAGCATTTTCAAGGAAGCGTAAACTCATTAGTAATAGCACAGTGAGAAGAGAAAGCATTAAATACAAATGACTCTATCGAATAAACTAAAGAAGAAGCTTAGGAGTTGCTTTTGCTTTCAGATGTAGACTGAGAGCTAGTGAAAGTGTCGATGAAAGGGTTTCAAACCCGGCATTTTGAGATAAAACTATCCGATCAGAGCAAAGACCGTCTGGCGAAAGGCATAAAGCAGTAAGCGATGTAAGCTCAGAGGAACTCTACTGGCAAAGCAACGTAGGCGCTAATGAGAAAGTAAAGGGACTCTATTATCGAATCTAAAGGCATCTCTTTTGGATTCAACAAAGGCTAGTCCTTCCCATATAAATAAGCTAGCGGTCAAGTTCTAAGCAAGGGCCGAAGGAAGCTAACAATAGGCAATCATCCCGGGCAGGGGTCTTTCTCTTCAAAGGCTGTTGGCCTCAGTAAGCCCTTTCATCGAAGAGGAGCGAAGAGGGCGGAATAGAGCTAATTGCAACTGATTCTATAGCTGCCAGAAAATGCTGCTTTTGTTTGTGCTATCGTTTTGAGATCCTAGCTTGCAAGGTCTTACTGCTTAGAGGTTATATATACGAAAAGAAAAACCTCCGAGAAAGAAAATATCCTTTCTATGGATGAAGAGAAATCCCGGGAAATACCCTCAAGCATCCCCGCAAGAGACCACTTCTCACTAGCTCTTTGATCCAACGCCAGATGTGTCATTCCTAAGAATTGCTTTCAATGGCCAGCAATCAAAGGGATGCGCGAAAGCCCTTGCTTGTTCCAGTTGGTCCTATACATGTGACCCGTGGGGCAAACTTCTACCAATAACTTGTTGCCAGTTGCTCCAACTGCCCAGATCTCAGGTGCGGAGGTTGAGACCCAAGCTGTGCTATCACCAAGAGCAATTCGCAAAGACCCCTTTAAATGTTATTCTACAGGAGACAAGGTGTCTGTTGCTGCTACTGAAGAGGAACTTCGTGATTTTAGTCGTGAATTACCAGCAAGGATTGAGAAAGATGTCATTCATATTGAACCAGATCCTGAGTTTGGTTCTGGCGCTGCTATCCCTACTGAAATCAATCCTCCAGTTCCCCCCTCAATAATTCATTGAAATGCAGCCTATTTGAAACGAAATCCCCGGAAAGAAACTTCATAATAAGCCCATTTCAGATTCAGACTAAACAATATTTTCTATTTTTTTGGGGGCCTTTGGAGCCAACTTTCCTTGAGACCTATTTTCCAGCATTCACATTTTGCCTTTCGGCACTATAGTACTTTCCCTGCCTTCCTTTGCCCATCTGAGATCGAATGAGGGTATACGATCAGATCTGCTCTTGCTTTGTGGCTTCTAGCCGGCAAGAGACATGACAGAAGAGAGAGAGCACAGATAGGAAACCGAACCGCCCTGCCCATTTTTTGAGTAGGTGATTCACTACCGGAGCATAATTTTTCATTTCTTTTCCGTTATACGCACTGCTATCAGCCCAGGACTCCGATCTTACCAATCTCCACATCTCCTCTTGAACGGAATTCCAGACCAGCACGACCTACTCGTTGGTTGAGTTGATTTCTCAAGCACTTGCAGCGGAAACTAATAGTTGACCAACCGCGGATACGCAAACAAGAACCATGGCATGAGATGCACTTTCCTTAGTATAAAGCAAACCGAAGCTTCTGCCCCAAGGCACCAGCGCATTCCCTTCCTTCTTCTACTATTGATCTTGTCGGTAAGTATATCTGTCGTGGGGCATGATATTCAAGAATTTCTCAAGTACTTGCTGCACTTCCTTCGAACCAAGCAGATTCCTGGACATTACATCTCGCGGAAGACTTTTGACTTTTCTCCGGCATGCATTCTATTGTCGCCCAACATATTACATGGTAGTGCATGAAGATCTATGAATCGGTCACATCGCTAGCCCTTTGAGAACCTTACTAATAGAAAGGCGCTCAAGCATGCGAAGAAAGCTCTTCGAGCTTCTCTTAATAAACTAAACTAGAAAGGTTTGTAGAAAAGGGCTTCGTCAAGTTCCGCTTGCTGCTTTTCATTTTTATAGGAGTAGGTGCTTGCTGCTCGCTCGCTGTCTACTAAATGAGCCTTCACTGCCCGCCCGGCCCCTATCTTTAATCTTAAGTAAAGTGAAGTCAAATCAATGAAGTGAACAGCCCAACCTCTGCAGTTGGAAGCTTTGCCAGGAAGCTTCTACTTCTTGAAGCTTTCTTTCCCCTAAGAATTCCGAAAGACAACAATAGACCTGCAACTATAGTATAGGAAAAAGCTTCTCTTTGATAGCAGTCATAGGTACGTTCAGAAAGGATCTGATCGTAGATGGAGACTGAAACCTGTGTGGGGGTAGGGGCGGATGTAGCCAAGTGGATCAAGGCAGTGGATTGTGAATCCACCACGCGCGGGTTCAATCCCCGTCGTTCGCCCATCAATAAATGGACCATTTATTTCGGAGACACAAGACAAACCTAGAAAGCATTTTTTCTGCAAGTCATCTCGAGTTCAAAGGCATCCAAGCAATGAGTATCCGATTGAAAGATAGAAAGCATAGTTCGCCTCGCCTACTTGCTGCAGACCTCTCCCGCCCATCAGGATATATTCAAGAAGTTTCTTGCTTGCGTCCAAGTTCCAACCGAAACGACTCCTGCGGAACTTGAACAGGCCCTACACGACTCGGAGAAAGAAAGCAATGCCAAGACATAGAACGATGGGCTTTCCCTAGCTTTAGAAGGTAACCATCTTCGATACTAATCGCCATAGTCTGGAGCGTTCGTCGCGACTACAACTATTTCGAACATATTAGCCTTCGCTCCGATACTTGTTACCTTCTCCTTCGTCGTCGCCCCTTCGTTACCTAATTCCCTATACAGAGAGTGAGCTCCCTCATGGGAAACCCAAACTACTAAGAGATATAGCGTGCATTAGCGTTCGCCCATATTAGATGGTAGTTCCATGGTTCTAAAGATGCATGAGATGTTCGCCTTCTAAGGAAGGAAGGTGGTCTTAGATCCAAATAGAACTGGTTTAAATCCGTAGAAACTCAATCAAAAACAGAAAGAAGGAAAGCGGAAGGGGGAAGGTCTGAGGAAGTAAGTGATTTGCGGGTCCGCAGCTGGGGAAGAAACCAAGAATCTTCCTGCCTAAAGAGAGAAAGGGCAATCGTAGACGAGGTTGGGTTTGTGTTCCGTAAATTCTCATTCTTCCCCCTAGATCCCCTAGATCCCCTAGATCCCCTAGATCCCCTAGATCCCCTAGATCAAAGTCTAAAACCAAGGAAAATAGAAAGAACTCTCTTTTCGTTCTGAACTAGACTCTATCTATACTCTATATATATAGCTTCGTTAAGCTGTATGGAGGGAATAGAAAAGAATAATTGATCATGGAAAAGAAAAGTTCATCTATGTCTATTGATAGTGTGAGTCATAAGAGTTTGATGTCTATTGATAGACTTTCGCATAAAATTTCTTCTTGGGAAGGGATTTTTCAGGACCACCCTGGTCTTCACCCTTCCAGTGAACGTCTAGTGGAACTTCCATCTGATATACGCAAGAAGTTGTGGGAGTTGATGGCTAACAAGAGTGCCCAAGATGTGTTGGTTGCATCCGAGGTCGAAAGCGCTCCACCTGAATTCGAAAAATTATTTGCTGAAATAGAAAAGAAATGCGAAGAGTTGGTTCTATTGTCGAATAGACAAATCCCGCCGGAGTGGAACATGGCCGATCTTATTCGCACTGTTATGGGAAACGACGCTCTTCAAATCCCAGGACATCTCCAAGATACCTATTATGATGTTATTTTAAGGGGAGCCACTAGTTGGTTCTTTGAGGATCTTGGGAACTTTCTCGATTTGATCAACTATGCCCCCGGGCCTTAGCCCTTAGAATCTCATTCAAAACCGGCGTGGCGCTGCTGGATGCTTCTGATCAATAGAAGAAGAAGAGGAGTCAGCCAAAAAGAAAGATCACCGAAAGTAACGACCACCAAGATAGGCATAGTAATGAAATCTTTTGATCACCCATTTTTTGAAAACCATTTTTGGGGGCTTCCGCCTTACACAAGGCGGATTGGATTGCCTGAATCACGAGTCTTATATACTGTGTTACGATCACCTCATATTGATAAAAAGTCCAGAGAACAATTTGAAATGAAAATCAAGAACCAATTTTTTGTCATAAAAACCGAAAGGCATGAATTGCGCAAGAAGTTCTTTCGGTTAAAACGCCGTGCGACTCGGAGGACATAAGACTTCTTGGTCAAGCCAAAAAGATTGCCGACTTCCTCCCACCATGCCTGGCCCTTTACCTTACCTTAAGAAGAAAGAGGGGGTATGAAGCGTGGGAAAGAATGCAAGAAGTGTATGATAGAAGTAACCTTAAGGAGTGGCGGCAAACCTCTTGATTGATCAACGTGAGTGAACTGTGCTTAGACGCTTCGTAAAACCGCACCGATCTACGAGAGGAGCTGATAGATGAGTAGGCTTCCCCTTTCGATTCACGGAATGTGATCTGGGCCACGATGGGAGTTTGCGTGCCTCGGTAGGAAAGAGATCACCGGAGTATAGCACAAGATCGCCTTTTCTTGCTGCCATGGGGTCGACCTGTGAACAAGGTAAACCCAATGGGAACCAAAAAACGGGGATACCGCATTGGGCAGAAGACGATCCAAAAAGCGAAGGCTCACCCTTGGTTGAAGAAAGAAGTCAGGGGCGAAAGCCGCTCGACCGATCCCTTGAACCTAACCCTCGGGAGTTTAGGGGCTCGACCGAGGGGAGAGGAAGGAGGGGAAGCTTACCTTAAACTTCAAAGGGGAAAGGGGGTGAGATAGGCAAGAGGTTTTGATTCCTTTTCCACTAGAAAGCCCGGCCGCGAGGAATCAAGAGATCTTTGCCGGTGCTGACTTGGATCTCGGGTGACGGAATAAGGCGGCCAAAAGCTTAGAGCAGTCGCGGTCGAAGCTTGGCTACAGCGAAGCGCTTACCAAGCGCGAAGGAAAGGCCTCCGCCACTTGAGCCGTATGCGGGGGAACTCGCACGTGCGGTTCTTAGGGGGGGGAGCTAGTAGGAGCCATCCCATCCCAATAGCGTATATTTTCCGCTCAATATTCAATTTTCTTTTCTTGCAAGACCCGTTCGGATAAGGGAAAACTCCAGAGATTGCTTCGAAGTAAGATCCTTGCGTTGACCCTTTCCTGAACCAGAACCGGGTCCGGGTGAGAGGAAAAGAGGATCCAAATGTCCCATCAATAAAGGTTGGGCTTTCCGGACCTTCCCCAAAACCCCCTCACGGACCCTTTTTCAATAAATAAGCCCCGCTTCATAAGCCATAACTTTAAATGGCCCCTCTCTGATAAGGAAGGAAAGGAAAGAATCTCCATTTTATGACAAATCCGGTCCGATGGCTGTTCTCCACTAACCACAAAGATATAGGGACTCTATATTTCATCTTCGGTGCCATTGCTGGAGTGATGGGCACATGCTTTTCAGTACTGATTCGTATGGAATTAGCACGACCCGGCGATCAAATTCTTGGTGGGAATCATCAACTTTATAATGTTTTAATAACGGCTCACGCCTTTTTAATGATCTTTTTTATGGTTATGCCGGCGATGATAGGTGGATCTGGTAATTGGTCTGTTCCGATTCTGATAGGTGCGCCTGACATGGCATTTCCACGATTAAATAATATTTCATTCTGGTTGTTGCCACCAAGTCTCTTGCTCCTATTAAGCTCAGCCTTAGTAGAAGTGGGTAGCGGAACTGGGTGGACGGTCTATCCGCCCTTAAGTGGTATTACCAGCCATTCTGGAGGAGCAGTTGATTTAGCAATTTCTAGTCTTCATCTATCTGGTGTTTCATCCATTTTAGGTTCTATCAATTTTATAACAACTATCTCCAACATGCGTGGACCTGGAATGACTATGCATAGATCACCCCTATTTGTTTGGTCCGTTCTAGTGACAGCATTCCCACTTTTATTATCACTTCCGGTACTGGCAGGGGCAATTACCATGTTATTAACTGATCGAAACTTTAATACAACCTTTTTTGATCCTGCTGGAGGGGGAGACCCAATATTATACCAGCATCTCTTTCGGTTCTTCGGTTTGAAATGGCCCTTTTCAGATTCAAATCTGAATACGCATTGCGCTGTATGCTGGGACTGTCTGCTTAATGGGACTCCTACTATGTTCATAAGTGGTTTTCTAGTAAAACCCCGATCTAGTCAAAATGGAGTATCTAAGACACAATCAGCAGGTAACCAACGACATAAAAGCAGTCTAGTAGGAACCTCAGAGACTACATGCGCAACAACTTATCCTAAATCCTTCTGTGAGTGGCTAGCTGGAATTATCGATGGTGATGGAAGTATTCAAGTTAGTAAACAAGGATATACTTCTCTTGAAATTACTATGGGACTTGAAGATCTACGACTACTACGATATATCCAACATATGCTTGATGGAAGTATTAAAATGCGATCAGGTGCTAAAGCAACTCGTTATCGACTACATAATCAACTTGGTATGATTAAACTAATGAATTGTATTAATGGTCATATTCAACATTCAGCACGACTACTTCAACTACATCGTGTCTGTCAAGTACTGGATATCCCTGTAATTCTACCTATTACACTAGATGCTCAATCAAATTGGTTTGCAGGATTCTTTGATGCTGATGGTACCATTAGTATCGCTATGAAGAATCGACTACCTCAACTAAGTATTCGAGTAACTAATAAACTTCTACAAGATGTAGAGTCAACTAAGGTAGTATTTGGAGGAAATATCCACTTTTCTAGTAGTCAAAATGGTTACTATAACTGGTCTGTACAAAGTCGAAAAGATGTTATCATGATGCTAGATTACTTTAAATCAAGTACTTTCCGAAGTCATAAATCACGACGATTCTTCCTTATTGAGGAATATTACAGTCTTTACGATCTCAAAGCATTTAAACCTGACAGTATTCACCATAAAGCATGGCTAGCTTTCCTAGACAAATGGAATTACATAAGTTGATGATATAGTCCACCTTTCTTCTATTCATCCGCTTCTATTATACGAAGAGAGAAGCACCCTGAAGTTTACATCCTAATTCTGCCCGGATTCGGTATCATAAGTCATATTGTTTCGACTTTTTCGGGAAAACCGGTTTTCGGGTATCTAGGCATGGTTTATGCCATGATCAGTATAGGCGTCCTTGGATTTCTTGTTTGGGCTCATCATATGTTTACTGTGGGCTTAGACGTTGATACCCGCGCCTACTTCACCGCAGCTACCATGATCATAGCTGTCCCCACTGGAATCAAAATCTTTAGTTGGATCGCTACCATGTGGGGGGGTTCGATACAATACAAAACACCCATGTTATTTGCTGTAGGGTTCATCTTTTTGTTCACCATAGGAGGACTCACGGGAATCGTTCTGGCAAATTCTGGGCTAGACATTGCTCTACATGATACTTATTATGTGGTTGCACATTTCCATTATGTACTTTCTATGGGAGCCGTTTTTGCTTTATTTGCAGGATTTCACTATTGGGTAGGTAAAATCTTTGGTCGGACATACCCTGAAACTTTAGGTCAAATCCATTTTTGGATCACTTTTTTCGGGGTTAATCTGACCTTCTTTCCTATGCATTTCTTAGGGCTTTCGGGTATGCCACGTCGCATTCCAGATTATCCAGATGCTTACGCTGGATGGAATGCCCTTAGCAGTTTTGGCTCTTATATATCCGTAGTTGGGATTTGTCGTTTCTTCGTGGTCGTAACAATCACTTCAAGCAGTGGAAAGAACAAAAGATGTGCGGAAAGTCCTTGGGCTGTTGAACAGAATCCAACCACACCGGAATGGATGGTACAAAGTCCTCCAGCTTTTCATACTTTTTCCGAACTTCCAGCTATCAAAGAGACGAAAAGCTATGTGAAGTAAAAGAAGAAAAGGTCGACGATTGCTACTAAGAACCTAACAGAACTTTGAAAAGAAAGATCTAGACAACCTTCCAGCAATAGAGATTTCTCTCGAAAGGGACGGAGCGAACTATCGTGTCCACGAGTTTAGTCAAAGCGCCACTCTTTTTTCCGGATTTCCTTTGGGTCTTAGCACCCCTCACTAGTGAAAGCTTATCTTCTCGTTCCTAAGCTAATCAATGGGATGAGATGGGAGTAAGAGGTCGCGAAGGAGTGATCCTGGCTGGTTGGTCACGCGGGGGATAACCATTGAGCCAAGCAGATTGCCATAGATTGGTGTCCTTGCCGTCACCAATGACACGTACTCTTCCGCTTTGGAGAATTGGCTTATCTCTTTCCTAGGTCTATTCATAAATCATAAAGGCATGCTCTCTTGAATCCAAAAGAGATGCTTTGCGGCGAGGACTAAAGCTACTAGTAAGACGGGAGGGCTCTCTTATTCTTATAGGCTCTCAACTAGCAATATCCGTAGTACCAGAACTGGCTGAGGCTTGGCATTAGAAGACGATAAAGTCAATGGAAGGAAGGAGCTCAACTCTGAATTCAGTATTGGAATAGTGGAACTGCTACGTTTCCTCTATTGATAGCAATAGTAGAGTTAGAGATCTTAGCATTAGAGGCTTTTTTTCTTCTATCAATAATGCTTCTTCTTTCTAGCAATTAGAGATAGATCGAAAGGGGGGTCTGCTCCTACTCTTAGTGTAAGCAAGACCTGCCTTAGTTCTCGCTTTGGTAGTTCAGGTAGGAAAGCCAACTCAAGACGGAAAGCAAGAGGCCCTCCAGCAAGAAGTTAGCAAGAGTTAGCGGCGAGGCTAGTCAGTAAAGGCAGTCTACCACTAGCGGTCACAAAAAAGTAGATTTCAAAGATCCTATTTGACTCACAGAACCACGTACTCAAGACATAGCTATCAACCTTCCAAGAAGCAATAATCATAAGGCTCAGTTCATCGATTGCTGTGGATTCTCTTGAAGTAGAAGATTCTATTCATGAGCAGAAGTATCCCCTGAATGGCCCCTCCTTAGGAGGGAGGGGAAAGCCTTTCAAGAAATTCATTCCTCTATGAATATATAGGCTACGAGGTTCAACTGCTTTTTACAGGGCGGACTGGTTAAAAAGACTCATCCCGCGAAGCCGAAAAGGCATCTTTTTCAAACGTTTCACCTCCTTTCCTTTGATTGGTGTAAGGTGACATAAACCACAAACCGCATTCTAGCAGCCCTAAAAAAAGAATCTCTAGCGAAGCTGTCAACTCAACCTAAAGAAAGCGATCCGCTAGTCTAATCTATTCTCTGCTTTTCGAACAATGATTTTATATACAACGGGGTCTTCTGCTGACCCAGAAGCTCTTTCCGAACTAATAATAAAGGAATAGAAACTATCGGAGTCTGACCTGACCCAGAGATCTAAGGAGTTTATTAAAGAGAATTTGCACATACGAAAAACGACTACCTGAGATGGCTGTAATTGAGTAAAAAAGGCCGGGGAAGTGCTAGAAGATGTACATAGGGATTTTGGTGACGAAAGCATCGAACGGCGACAGGAAATAGAGAGACTAAATGGCAAACAGGAGTCCGGAGGATTATCTGAGGTGGAAGCAGCTTCCATTCCCTCTGGCTCCATATTCTTCTTTTAGGCCTACCTCTTCGTTTTTTCTTAGGCTTTGTAGCTTTAGGCGGGGCTTTTTCACCGTGCGCAGCCATATATAGGTTTAATGGTCTCACAATCCCTAAGAGCATGCATTATAGTAGTCTCAGCTTTCTTGCATCTTGGACAGGTGCTAACATCTTTCATATGCCTTCGTTTCCGCTGCTCATTTGTTATTTGTTATCTATTATGCTATTATGCAACACAAGCCAAAGGAGCTTTTAAGCGAGGCCCTTGCCATTTCCAAACAATCTCCCACTCCCTGCTACGTTGGTCCCAATTTTCCCCTTCAATGAGCTCATAAGCTGTGCAACTAGAGAATGTTCCATTCTTTGATGGTCCCCTTCGATCACCATTACCTCTTTGATTCGGCGGCTTAATGCCCGCTTTTTTAAGACACGATGCCGCTGGTAAGAGATGCTGAAATTTATCCCACTTCCAACACCCATTCTCATCAAAAAAAAGAAGCCATGCATCTTGACAAGTCCTCTTGAGGAACTGCAGCTATAGCTTTATCAAGGTTTTTTATTCCTCATCCACCATGAATCCTTCAATAAATTTGGAATCCGCCCATTGCCAATTACCCACTGAATCCCTTTAAGATTTAAGAATAGAATCCCACACCTTGAAAATTCCTTTGGCCACGGGTTGAGGAAGACCAACCCAATCTCGAATGTATTTACTACGTAACACCTTCACCCATAGCGCATTAGGAAGAGTCAATATTCCCCACCCGAGCTTCATAACATAAGAAAAGCTGAATTCCATCCATCCTCACCTTTATACATGAATTTGGATGTCAATAATTTCCTCCTCGGGTCTCTATAAAACAGAATGAAAAGCCCGGGTTACAGGACAAAAGGAGAGAGGAAAAGTAGAAAGGGGGGAAGAAGTGACGTGCTAGTTCTTACTGACACTTCTTGATCTAACTTTCATTTTTGAGTGCTTTCTTTGTTCTCTTATTTATTTGGATTGAATTCAACTCAACTCCCATTGTTCTATGTCTTGGCATTCCTTTCTTTCTCTTCTTTTTATCCCTTCGACGAATTTCGGCTATGACCAATGCCCCACTAGCTGAATAGGCGTAAGAAAGCTACCTGAAAAAAGGCAAGGTGCACCTTGGATTGAACTCGACGAATTGCATTTTGCCAGAGATATTTTTTGAGTTAGAAAGATTCTCTATTGGAAATTCAAAATAAAGAAAATAAAAGCGCATACGCGGGAAGGGGGCCCCAATACTTTTTCATTCAGGGGGGGAGGGGGAGACTAGCCTCATTACTTCCCACTGGGCGAGAGGTGCACCTAACCCACCTACCCACTCATCAATCACGGTGTTCAGCTGACTTGCACTGATAGACCCCTATTGTATTGGAATTAGGCGCCCATCTTTTGACTGTTGTCAATTCATTTCTTCAATGTTCGATTCTACTCTATGTTAGAACAATGGTATTTTGATCTAAGTGGTCTTATTCTTTCTCCCGTGCTAGGAAGCATTACTCCTCTTTTCATTCCAAATTCAAGAATACGACCGATACGATTGATTGGTCTGTGCGCCTCTCTTATTACTTTTTTGTATCCCCCTGTTCTTCGGATACAATTCGATCCTTCTACGGCCAAATCTCAATTTGTGGAAAGCCTTCGATGGCTTCCTTATGAAAACATCAA